TAGTGGTAAACAGTGTCGTGTTCGTGGTAACATGCTAGGGCCATTATATTGTATAATATAATAATAAACAACGATATACATCAAATCAAATAATAATATGTATATATATTCTGTGACTCTTTGTGGCAGACTGCTGATCGTCTACCCCTGGACTCAGCGGTATTTCGGATCCTTTGGAGATTTGTCCAGTGCAGCTGCCATCCTGGGAAACCCTAAGGTTGCTGCGCACGGCAAAGTCGTGTTGGGTGCTCTGGGCAAGGCTGTGAAGGACCTGGACAACATCAAGGCGACCTACTCCAGTCTGAGCCAGCTCCACTGTGAGAAACTCAACGTGGACCCTGATAACTTCAGAGTACGTAACATCCTCCAGTTAGACATTAAAAGAAATTAAACAGCCATACTAACGTCTACCAGTGTCTAACGCGTTGTTTTTATGTTCCACAGCTGCTGGCCGATTGCCTGACCATTGTGGTTGCCATCAAATTAGGAGCCGCATTCTCCCCCCAAGTTCAGGGAACATGGCAAAAATTGCTGGCAGTTGTTGTTGCGGCTCTGAGCAGCCGTTACTTTTAAACTTCCTCCCGAGAGAGTGTTTGCATTTGGGCGGCATTTGATGGCTTTACGTCACATGATTGAAATAAAATAAAGGCTGATGACCTACACTACCACTGTGTGGATTCTGTGACTCTTTCAGAAGGCTTAATAAAGCCCTTTGTGGGCGCTTAAACGTTATACTTTCAGATGCACTAAAGGGAGAAATAGGGGGGCTCAGTTATAAAGTAGAGAATAAACAGCACTCACAATTATAAAGATGCCAATCTGCTTTCACTGCCTGTTAGCTATAGACTTTCATTCACAGCCTGATTATACCATTAACTGTGTCTGTACAAACTTTGTCTAAGTTGGTACCTTTATTACCTTTAGCCTAATAAACCATCTTCATATTCATTAATAACAAGCATTCAACATGTTCCTTTTTTTATACGAAATTATTTTTCATTTTCAAAACAGTCTGACTTGGCTCATAAGATTGTGTACAAATGCAGCAGGTGATTCACATCTGTTTGTTGCCACACACCAGGAGCAGGGGTTATTAGAACAACAAAGCATAATGCTCGGAAATGTCTACTGTAATGTTACATTTAATGTTAGACCAACACTGAAAGAATAAAGAAGAATATGGACTGTATGGATAGTACTACCATAAAAGTTGCATAAATAAACTACTCATCACATACCACAACAACACGACCAGTTCAGCTTATCATCTAATTGTGAGTTCAAGCAGATGCACTCTAAATAAATAAATAAATAAATAAATAAATAAATAACTTGCTGACAATTTCAGTTTGCAAGTCAGACAAGCCTCCTCACCACATGTGTAGTACGGACACATACACAAGCTCACACAACATGGAACACTCTTACTGTGCCTGAGAGCCACTGACGTAGGAAAGCAGAGGGCAATTAGAATAAAATAACACAATAAAATTGGTTCTCATCTTCATTTCCATGCTGAAATATTTGTTTTCCCACCTGCATCTGCTTTACCCATTCATGATCAACAACTTTGTTTAGTTGATTAAGAAAACTCCCTTTTTAGTCACAGGGTTAATCCATTTGAAAAAAAAAAATCTTCAGATTTATGCCCAGACATATTCTGAGAACATGTGGATCAAAGGAAATGTTCAAATACAGACATTAATGAGTTAAAGATGATCCAACTTATTATGTTTTTTGCGATTTTTCAACTTGAGTGGAACATTTGTAGACAACAAAACAACAGAATGCCAATAAGCTTAACTGTCCCACTTTACCTGAAGACCCATTTAACCTATATATAAATGTAAGTGTTCAGTAAACTAATTATTATTAGGAGACAAAATATTACATTTTGTTGTAGAGTCATTTAATTTCTTTCATCAGATCACTCCAAGTGCTGCACTGTCTGTTTATTAGTAAATGACAGTAGACACAGATTAGAGAGAATGTTTACACATAATGTGAAAGTACAGTGGTTCAACATGGTGTTTTTGTTTATTTATTTTCATTGTATTGTCACCACACATTGCACTTGCAAGTTTATGAATGATATAAGGTCATGTGCAAAAGTTTGAATACCTCTGGTCAAGTTACATGTTTTGTTGATTTTTAGGTCAAAATAAGTTAACACATCCTCTACAGGGGATAAACTTAAATACCGCATTTTTTCTGCAATTTTAATGCACAATTTCTATTTATCTGACAAGTTTACATTTAGAAAAAATAATACATAAAACATAAATCTTTGGCACAGGCTGTATTTTTTCATTTTAGTTTTTTACCAGTGTGTTAAATTCAGCAAATACGTTTTAATTGTACATTAAAACATGCAGAAGTATGTTCTCTGTAGAGGATTTGTTAACTTATTTTCACTTAGAAAATCAACAAAAACAAAATTTGACCCGCAGAAACATAAGGAATGTTTAGCAGTCGCGTTTTATCATTACTCCAATAAACCCAGTCAATAATTTTGCACACGATTGTATATATACCAATAAATGAGTGGAGAATCGCAATGACCACAGATATTTCAGGTGTGCTAAACAGGCCAGGTTGAGGAAAAGATCTAAGTGACCTCATTATGGAGGTTTCAGTCACAAAGACTGCTTAACAGGTTAGTTTGCTGAAATTGTTGTCAAAAGCATAAAATTAATGGCCATGCAAGGAAAACCAGAAGAGCAACTGTTTCTCAGGTGACTAAGAATGCCAATGCAAGACATGATCAGACTGATCATAAACAGGCAGTCAACAACTACAGAGAGGGAAATTATAGCAGGGTTGCAGTGCATAAACCCCTCATTACAAAGATGGATGTACATTTGTGAGTTCAGTGCTGTAAAGACTATAGTCACTGGTCTACAGAGATGCCGAAAAACTGATATGGTTAGATTAGTCATCCTTCATCATATTCTCTACAAATGGGTGAGTGCCCATTTGTGGAGGATGCAGTTATACAATGCTGTGCAAAAGTCAGAGACCTTTATTGATTGTTTATAGTCATAATTAAGTTCATGAAGCACAATTCATTTATTTTTTTGCATCAGGAAAAAGAAGAATACATATTTACCAGAAAGTTACACAGAGGCATCAACATGTGTCCACTCCTGCATTCATTACAGCTTTAATTTTTTTTCTTTTCAGCCTTTGAAGTTGGCTGTAGTATCTGCTTCTTATAACCTAGGTAATTGCATACATCTTCAAGGATGTCGAGGTCTGGGCTCTGGAGTGGTCAGTCCATTGTTCTGAGAACACCAGCAGCTTCTGAGTTTGATTTGCAAATTTTCTTTTTTTTCCCTATTAATTTCCTTTTCTCACTAATAGCTTCTTGACAGCTAAGCAAGAGAATAGCTTGATTTTCTCCCCTCTCTCAAAGATGAAAGCTTTAATTACTGTTTATCTGATGGTAACAGTTTTGGTGGTTCACCAGATCTTCCATGGCTGGCCTATCCCACTTTTTTTTCCACTATTTTTTTTTTTGTCACTTAAATATTCACATATATGAGCTGAAATGAATAGTTTCAAATTATTTTCATGGCCGCCTAAAACTGCATATAACTGTGTATATATACTGTATAGTAGCCTTTGGTGGAAACCATATCAGCAACGCTGTATTAGGACTGTACTACGTCAGAGATAAACAAAGCGTTGCCCTGAACCTGCTGACCTCACGAGGCAAACGGAAAACGTGAACTCATTTGAGCGATGACCTTGTACACTAGATTGGTTGATATAAATGTACATTATACGTCTATTTAAGGTGTATATATAATCATATAAAATAATATAAGTATTAAATATTAATAACATAATATAATGTAATATGAGTATTAAATCAGAGCATTACCTTTAACGTTAATTTTACATTATAATATGAATGTATTTTAAAGTTGCAGCGCGGAACCATAATACGTTGTGTTTGTGGTTCCTACGTCAGAATAGACTGCAACTCACAACATTTCGTCTTGAAACGCTAAAACTAGCAAATAGCTAGACATGTAAGCGAGCGCATGAACGCTTCTTTACACTAGTCGACTAATACTTAACGTGAATTCACAGTTGTCCAGTTTGACTGAAGTTCTGGTTTATCGCTTTATTACTCACAGGGCTAGCTGTGCTAATGTCGTTGTCCGTGTTGTCACCGGACACAGCTAACTTAAGCCTGCATAAAGAATAGATTCAGTGACCTTCAACGCATAACTAGACAATTCCTCCAACTTACCACCGTATGTTGGTTTTCAGTAACTTAGTTTGAGTTGTTACACGCCTGCCCGCCTTTGCATTGCCTTGCATTGGAGACTTGGACGTTGATAGAGTGTTGCGGTATTAAACCAGCCCTATGGGCGTAAGTTAGTTAGCTAACTAGCTAACTTAGCTAGCCACGTTCTGAAATGATTATCATTCTAGCCAGCTAGTTTGCTAAATGAGTGTCTAGCTAGCTGTATTACTACAATCTGTTATTTGTAGTTGTCAATACATCACGCTTTCTTAAATTATATAGGTTACCATGTACAAGCAGTCCTCACTAGATTTAGATCCCAAGTCAATGCCCAGGCAACCAGACACTATCCTCCATAAAAACGGAGAAAAAAATAGTCCTATAAGCGTAATTTTAGTTAGTTCAGGAAGCCGGGGAAACAAGTTGCTCTTCCGATATCCGTTTCTGAAGGTGTCTGAAAACACATCATCAGCTGCAAGTAAGTGCCGCCCTAAATGACGATCAGGATACTTCTGGCTCTCTCTGTCCTAACGTTTGAGATACAGGCTAAATTATCTACAGTGATTACAACCATGCCCTTAATGTCAAAGCAGACATTTCCTGCTCTGCATTTGAGCATTTACATTTATATCCATTAGGAACTTTATTCAGAGTTCTTAAATATTGCTTAGTTTTAACATCTGCAAATGGCAGCATGTGTACTGATTGGTTCTAAGTGAGTGATTTCTGTTGGTTTTTTAAGCAAAACAGCGGAGTCCATATGTGCTGAGGACCGCAGGTGATTCCACAGATGACTCAGATGGAGACTCAAGGTATTGTGTAAAATGACTCTGAATTGTTGATGCCTTGTACAGGATGAACGAAGTGCCTGACGAGAGTTGTATGGCTGCACAATGTTGACAATGCACTATTATTGTGATTATATTGCTATAGATTGGAATTCCAGTTTTCCTTGCATTACATTAAAACATGTACTGGCGAGTCAATGATGTGATGTGGTTAAAGATTAGCTTGCATTATTTCGACCAAAATAATCTACTTTTTTTAATCTGAACACCTATGGAAGGACTCATTTGGAGCTGTGATTGGTGAGGTCAATTTTTTTAATGACCACACAAGTAGGAATTTGCCCAGTCATCCATACATTATTGGCACTTGATAAAGTATAGAACTGTGACGAGGTGGCTATGTTGAGCAGCAAATTATTCAACCAGTTGGCATTCGTTAGCTAATTTATACTAGCCAGTACATTATACAGAGTTCTACTTTAGTCACTGTTGCAACAAAATCTTATTAATTCTTAGCTTGAAGTGTTAGATTTTTGTAGATGCAAGTTTTTTTTTTTTTGACAAATACAGCGATAAAAGGCTTTGTTTTGACAATGACAGCTCTATCAACATGCTATTTTCCAAAGCCCGGTTTCTCTTGTGGGCATTGCCTATATGCATTTTTTTAAACACAGCAATAAGCCACAAGAAGCCAAACGTTAGTCATTTTACCATTTTAACGGCTGTTATAGGCACAACACTCAAAATGCTAGCTCTCTGTTCACTCGGTCAGGCATACCTAAAGAGGCTTTGGGTTGTGTGGAGCTGTGACTTTGGGCTGTGGTGTAGTTCTCACTGGTACAAGGAACAACTTGACATCAGCTTCTTTCAACATAGTTCCACCCAGCTCAAGACCAACTGAGGAGGAACAAAGTGCAAGTATTGCTCTAGCAAAATGACCAACATTTATCTTTTTTTGACAATTAACAACACATTTATGCAGGACCTGAAAACTAAAAACAATAAACAAAATAAGAAAATAAGTTGACAGCCCCTTCAATAATATACATACATCTAGACCTGCTTATGCAATTTTATGCTTACCACAATTGTAACTAATTTTAACAGTGTATGGCAGGGGTCATCAGTTTAATCCAGGAGGGCCAGAGTCCAGCATAGTTTGGTTATTTTTCTGCTGAAGCACACCTGTTTCAACATATCAGTAAATTACCAAGTTTAGTTGGTGTGTAAGAGCAGGGAATTGACTAAACTGTGCTGGACTCCTGGTGTATGGTGTGTCAGAGAACATATGCAGTTTTTGCGCACTTAGTGGAACAAACCCCCCATGGAGACAATTTTGAATATAAAAATGGAAACTTTATCACACTGAATCCAAACAAAAACTGTATGTTGTTTTTGCACTGTAATTTGCTTCTATCCTCCATTTTATGTCGTACTTTTTGTATTTTACAGTTGCTGTCTAAATTACAGAGTTGCTAGAGAATATGTAGGCCTAAATCAGAATATTGTAGCCTCTTAGTGTAGTAGAATCAGTGCCCTCTTCCTGTTTCTGTGTTAAGAATGTTTTCCCCAGAAATGCACACATGGCTGCATTTTAATTCAAGGAGTCAACAAGGTAACATTCTTCACCCCAAAGATGATTTTTAGATCCTTAAAGTAAGCCAAGTGCCTGTGTTAACAGTAACACCCTAGCTTCTTCCTTGAGAAAACAAAACAGAACCAAAAAAAACAAACAAATATGAACTATATCAGTACAACATTGAAAATTCTTTGGACACTAGCGGAGAACACGTCTTTGATGTTGTTCATGAGTTTTTGCAACCAAAAGTGCAGCTCTATGTTTTTTTTCTCACTGTTGCAAATACACATAACTTGCTTTACTGGTCTAAAACTGTAAGAAAAAAAATTTAGCATTCTAGAAGCCCACTTCTGTTCTTGAATCCTCTTTTGCATTCTGACAGAAAACTACTTTTTTGATCACAAAATAAATCAGAATTGAATGCATTTAGACTAATGAAAAAAATAGAATTACACAAATGCTTTTTCAATTCATTTAAAGAGGATGAAGTATTGGATTTTTATGGGGCCAGGTTCTCAATCCTGGATTAAGCCTAAGCCTAAACTAAAAGAACTTTAAGTGGAATTTCTATTTAGTCCGAGTTTAGGTCTTTATCCATGTCCAGCAAACTGTCACTTAGTGTTTAATAGAAAACTGACTTGTGACATTTGTTATGGTATATTTATGTGCTTCTTGAAACCTTGTACAAGATCAGTCATGGGCAAATGAGAAATGTGAGCACAGTAGATTGAACATACATCTTATCAACTTTGATGATTCAGTTAACGAGGGAGTAATTGGGTGTAGTTTTCTGGCTCAATGTTAGTTTTGACAGATGTAATAGTAATATTCATCAGACATAATAGTAATGTTTATCAGGCGTAAGTAATGTTTATCCCATTTCACTTTAAGTGTCTCTTTCTTGTTTATCCTCATGGACGTTTCAAATATAGCTACACAGTGAAGTGTGGTGTTAGATTATTCATGCACTACATCTCCTGAAGTATGTGGACATCTGAACACCACATCCGTATGTGCTTGTTGAACATCTTGTTGAATGGGCATGACAGTTGCAATACTTCTTTCCTGCTGTAACAGATTTCATTCTTCTTAAACAAAAAAAGTGTTTCTACTTGATTTTGGAACATGTCTGAGGGGATTTGCTTCCATCCAGCCACAGGAGCACTAGTCAGGTTGGGCACTGATGTTGGATGATAAGGGCTGGCTCACAGTCAGCTTTCCAAATTATCCTAAAACGTTTAATTTGAGGGCTCTGTGCAAACCAATCAAGTTCACTTTTATTAGCTTTGCAAGTTGACTGGCATAACATAAATGGTTTAGTTGCTGACATAACTAAGTGATATGTCAAAAGAGCAAACTGTAGCAAACAATAAAACAAGCCTCTCTGCAGTTTGACAGTGGTTAGTTTTACATTTCCTTGTAAACTCACGTCACTTTTGAGTGGTTTGCTAATTTAATTTTGTTTTTAACATTCTTATTTTGTACATTCTGTCAACTTGTCTGCTGCCTTTTTTCCTTTTTGTTTCCTTTATTTCTTTGTTTATGGCCATATTCCCATTTCAGAGAACAAACTCCACTAACTGATGAACAGTTGGTAGCAGGGTAAGATAAAATCATTCTAAACCACCCTCCGTCTCTGTCTAGAACACCTCATGTTTATTTACCTTTCCTCCCTTTTATTTTTTTTCTTATTCGTATCTGTACACAGTATATGTCTATTTTGTGTGTCATATGCAAATCCAGCCTAAAGTTAATTCCATGGTGAAATCCTGGGGCATAGCAATGAATAATATGAATCACAGTTTAAATAAACAGAATGAATTGTACTTTTCTGTGCTTGATCTAATATTAATGGAAAATATGAAACAAAGCGAAATGTTCATTAAACATGATTTTCATTGTAATTTCAAACATGATATCATTGTAATTCAAAGAAAAAAATGTAAAAGAAAATGTGGAATATTCATGTAATGAAGAAGAGGTGCAATGGTACAGCAACGCTCACAAAATGCAAACTCACCCAGCACTCAACATTTCACAACTTGGTTTCTTTTCATTTCTCTTGGCAAAACAATTTCACCACTGATCCAGACCAAAGGTCTGAATGGGGCCACTGGCTTTTTTGCACCATTGGGCCTTTTTGGGGTTTGACTCACCTTTTAATTGAATGCCTTAAATGGAGTGGATGATCTAAGCCTAGAGCATGAGCAGAGCAAGCATGAGTCTGTCATCTCCATCTGAAGACTGCTTCTCTGTCAGAGACTCTCCTCTGCTAGGTGCTTCTTTGAGTTCCTCTCAATCTAAGCCCAGTTAATCGTTCTGCAGGCTTAGCCCAAATCATTTGCCTTTTTTGCCCTTCCCCTGTACGTTCCCTAGTAAGGGGTTTGAATCCATAAACTCTAGTGCTCATTAGCTTAGCTCTTGTAATCCAATCAAACCCCTCTTGATGACTGGGAGATTAAATTAAGGTTTGCTTCTGCTCTGTGCTGCTGGTTATTGTTCTCTCATTGTTTTCTACCTTCTTTTCTTCCCTAAAGATTCTCTGATATTATTCTTGCTACCATCTTGGCCACCAAGTCAGACATGTGCGGCAAAAAGTTTGAACTGAAGATTGACAATGTTCGCTTTGTTGGACATCCCACCCTCCTGCAGCCCCCTCACACCATTCAGGTGAGAGACTGATGGCAATAATTGGTACAACAAAACTGCAACTACAACTCAGTGAGGTTAACAAGAGGCTGTCCATGAGAGCAGTGGCAAATAAGAGACAGCATGAGTTTTCAGCCTAAGAGCTCCACCTACTGGTTGAGAGCCCACTTGGTAGGTGGTTACAGCTACTTCTGCTTCCACTACAAGTTGCTGTGTTTCAAGTGTAATGAATACTGCAGCATATTACTCACTGACTTGTGCTACTTTAATTAAAGGTATTATAATTGCCTTCTAATCATTACTCAAGCAAAAAAGCAAAACTATTTTTCAACTTTTCCCTTTTTAATGAACCTTTAAATACGTTGTTTTGTTTGTAGTTGAGAAAAACGCCACCTAGTGATGCAGTTCTTACCCTCTGGCTCTGTGGGTAATATGCAGCATCTGAGAAGTGTATTATCATCATTGTAGATGGGGTACCAATGCTATTTCCTTGAATTGTGTTTGTCTACATGTAAGACTCACAGCACTATGTGTTTGTAATTCAATTTTTTAAAACATTTATTTAACCACTATGGCCCCTGAGCCTTGCTATTTCAAGGCAATCTGTTAAAGGTTTGGAATAGAGTAACATGGGGACAATGCAACCTGTTACTAGTTACTTGGGGTTCCACTATGGATTTGTACCACCCTGCACATCTTCGTATGAAACTATAAAATTTTGCAGTTTATATTTTTTGCCAAATCTTTGAATTTATGCAATGTGTGGAAATCATGCTTAATAAATTGACAATGCATTGTGCTTTCCTAGGTCTCCAAGACAGACCCTTCACCCAAAAGAGAAATGCCCACCATGATCCTATTCAGTGTTGTATTTGCATTAAGGGTAAGAAAACTTTATTAAGGATACATTCATGTGCCTTTTTGCAATATTTGCATACATTTTTGTCAGTGCGTTAGCTTATCTGTTTCCAAACCTCTCCTTTCTCCAGTTACCATCAAATACTTAGTTTATCTATTTAATACAGGTATGCTGCTGATGGAATGTAAAAAGAGAAGTCTGTTACTGAAGAGTTACTGTATTTTTGTTTTTATTTTAATGTTTGTGTTTTTTGTTTTTACAAAATAGGCATTACAACACATTTCTGACATAAATGGAGATTTGTGCCATATTTTAAAATGCATTAGAAAAGTTTATTGTGTTGGAAAGCAAAATGTCAAACCAAGTGCCATTTATGTTAAACAGACTATTCCAAGACTGTAATTTTCTTTCTGGCAAAGGATTCTCTCAAAAGGCGGCTGGTATTTTTCAGATCATTATCGTTTGAGCAGGTTTTTGCAGTCTTTCGCAGGTTTGCGTCCAAAATGCCTTCAGAGTTCCTGATCCCATCAATGAAAACAAGCTCACTGCCATTTTGTTGTTTTCACCTCTGTGGTTTACAGTACTCTTAGTGCAGTCTGGTTTGAACAGTCTACCATCAGTTTGATGTTGTGCAAAAAGTGTTTCTTTAAAACAAATATCATTTGTTCACATGTGAAGTAACCCTGTAAACAATTTCTGGGCAAGCGTGTATATAATACAGTAAGACGAACACAGGTTTGGTGCCAGACTTCTCGCTGCACTCTGTGGCAATCCCATGGATTTGTTAAATTCCACCAGCAGCATTCTTTAATTTAAAGGAGTATTGACTAGCTGACGCAGGTATTTAATTTTAACTGTAAATACTGGGCTTCCTCAAGGAAAGTTTTGGAAATGGTTAAGCTAACACATTGACAGACATAAAACCACAGTGTATTGTTTATTTATTTATATTTATTTCCAATGCTGCA